TTGCCGTTTTGTAGTGGTTGGGTATTTGCTCCGCGTCGGGTTTTTCTGTCTCTGACGGGGACCACGCGTGTGTCCGATGCCCCGCGGTGCAGCGGGACGCGGGACTCTACGTGTACAGTGCACGCTCCCCGGCAGCGAGGATCAGGAGGTCCCACTGGCGCTGCGGGAAAACGGGCCGTTCCCAGCACATGAACGATCCGCCTCCCGCCTCGGTGCGCTTAGCCGATGGGCGCTCATCCTCCCTCTCATCCCGCACACAGTCGTGGGGGGAAAGATCTCCCCGAGTCGCTTTCTCCCTAGAAGCAGAAAAGTAATTAGCAAAGAGCCAAGTGATGAATTATAAAGCAAATACCTTCACGCTGGGCTTCTCTCCAGCGAAATGCTTCCCCATTTTTAAATCTGATTTTCTAATTAAGTACCCTCGTTAAACGGTTTATTTCGTGTAGCGGTTACAGTGGAGAGATGCCAGAGAAAAGCAGGGGCGATCTTGGGGCAGCGAAACGGGTTCAAGTCCGAGAAACAGCCCAGACGCGCCGCTCAACGCTGCTGCGCGGGCAGACAAACGCTTGCAGGCAATTTGTCCCCCCGTATTCGCCAGCCGATATTCCTATACCGTTTTTTCGGTAGTATATTACCGGAAAACGGATTGGTAAACTACCGAATTTGGATTTAAACTTCTCGCTGCCGTGTTTCAGGGAGAAGCCCTCCCGCGTCCGGAGACACAGAAAATTACCACCCGCTACATCACACACATCGGATAGGTTGCCAGCAGTCTAGCTTGCCCTGAGCTGCATATGCCTTTCCATCGCCACAGCTTGCATTTAGGCAGCGGCCGTGGCGAGGGCCGCCGGGGTGGCAGCGGCTTCGCGGGTCACTGCTCCCGGGCCGCTTCTCAAAACTTTGATGAAACTTTGGGCTCTAAAGCTCCCGCAGCGCTGAGACACGGACGGGCTCACGGCAGCAACCACACACCGGTCGCCGCTCGTGGCCTCCCGTGGGCTTTCGAGGGACGCCCGCTCGAGGTCCAGACGCCCCCCGTCTTGGGCTTTGAGATCCCGGCCGAGCGCGGAGGGTCGGAGCCTGTGTAAACCTCCCAGACCCATTCGCTTCCAGCCCCGGGCGCTTCTTTCGCAGGGGGGGTGGGAGGGGTGGGTGGCATCAGTGCCGACCCCTCGGCACGGCGCAGGCAGCGCCGCCGCCCCCGACGGCTGGACAGACACCTCACTCCTCCCTCTCCCTCATCCCCCCGGCGGCGGGTGGTGAAGGGGGGCGGGCGGGGGACGGGGGCGGGCGGAGGGGCGCTGGGCTCAGCAGGGCGGTGCGGGAAGAGGCAGTGTCTCGCCGGCCGGCGTCAGCAATCCGCCCGCAGGTGCCACAGCGGCGGATACCCCCACCGGACCAAGGCTACGGCGGCGCCCCCCTCGGAGCCCGCGGGCAAAGCCGCCCGCCTCCTCTCCTTCGCCGTCCAGGCTTCCGCCCGCCCCTGCGGCTCCCTTCTCCGCCCCGGAGCCGATCGGGCTCCTCCCGCGGGCATGAACGGCTACGGCTCCCCGTACCTCTACATGGGCGGCCCGGTGTCGCAGCCGCCGCGGGCTCCGCTGCAGCGGACGCCCAAGTGCGCCCGGTGCCGCAACCACGGCGTGCTGTCCTGGCTGAAGGGCCACAAGCGCTACTGCCGCTTCAAGGACTGCACCTGCGAGAAGTGCATCCTCATCATCGAGCGGCAGCGGGTGATGGCCGCGCAGGTGGCGCTTCGCCGGCAGCAGGCCAACGAGAGCCTGGAGAGCCTCCTCCCGGACTCCCTGCGCGCCCTCCCGGGGCCTCCGGGCAGCGCCGAGCCCCCCGCCCCGCCAACGGGGCCTCCGACATGCGCCGCTCCGCCGCGGGCACCCGCCGAGCTGGCCGCCGCCGCTGCCCTGCGCTGGGCAACCGAGCCGTCCCCCGTGCTCCCGGGGCCGCTCGCTAAGGCAGGTGAGGCTGGGCAGGGCGCCGTGGGGCCGAGGTGGGGGAGGGCGCGCGGGGAGGAGGGAAGGGCCGGGACCCCGACGAGCGCCTTCTGGAAGGAAAGGTGACAGCTTTCCCTTCTTCCAGACGGGTGCCGTGGGAAGGGGAAGGAGGGAAAGTCCGACGGTTGCGTTTTGTCGCTCTTAAAAAGCAAGGAGCCGCGAAGTTTGCAGCCACCGAGACCAGCGGAGGGGACTGGTAACACCGCCACGGCCGACTCGTTCCCCGACGTGCCGCTTCCAGGCCCGTTGCCCCAGGCGGGCCGGGAAGTGGCAGCGTCTCGAGTGGATCGCGCCCCTCTGCCTGTCCCGGCCCCGCTGAGTCGATGGGAGCCGGGCTTCTCTCAGCCGGGACATCGGCTGCGAGTCCCCGTCCAGGACAAAACCTCTGTATGGAGCTGCCGGGAAAAAGCGGCGCCGGGAGCAGCAGGGTTTCTAAGGGGCACGGAGGGCCGGGGGCAGGAGGGGGTGAGCGGGGCTGCCCGGTAGCTAGCGCTTTCCTCCCGTGAGGCTGGCATGTCCCGCCGGGCCGTGTTCAGAACCGTCCTGGCAGGTCGGTAATGCTGACCCGGAAACCGCCGCCCGCGGCCGGCACCTCTTGAGTGCGACCTACCGATAACACTTTTCTGGACGCAAAACTAGCGGCCTGGAGCGGCCGTGCCCTTCTCACGCCCCGTGCATGGGCGGGACCCGACAGCCTTTCCCAGCGAGGATGCCCGGCAGGCTGCTGCCCGCCGCTCTAGTGACAGGCGGCGGCTGCACCCGGTGCCCCGGTGAACCCCGAGCACCTCACGGCTCTTCGCCGTGCAGCCGGAGCCCGCGGGGCGGTGTGCAGTCAGCCTGGCCGCCAGGGCATCTTCAGGGCCCCCGACAAGGGGCTCCGCTCCTCCAGCTTCTGTCCGGAAAACACACATCGCCGGGCCCGATGCGCTGGCGCGGCCAGTCCCCCGGCGCGGTGAGTTTAGCGGTGGTCTGGGGCCCGCTTCCCCTTGGCCGGCCGTCGGCACTGGCTGCCCGCCCTCTGTCTTCCCTATACCCCGCATCTTCGCTCGGGCCGGGGCGCTGGGGTGTCTCCGTCCCCCAGGTTTCCTCCTGGTCTCAGTCTCTTGGCGGCTCGGAGCCTCTTCCGCCGCGGCACCATCCGGGCCAGGGACCGCGGCGAGGGAAGAGACCGGGGGAAAAATGGAGGGGGGGGGGGGTGTGTGGGTGGGGAAAGCCGCATTAGCTCCTTCCAGAAAGTAAAACAAAAACTCCGCCAGCAAGATATAAATCTGGCGGGTAGAAACGGTATTAACTTGCACGCCCAACTTTTCTTCCCCCTGATATATGAACTTCCCGGGTTAAAAGATTACAGTAATCACGGGAGGACAGTGTAAATCGAATCTGATAGCAATAACTTTTGGAGAAGGTCAGGCTCAAGTGAAATGTTACCAAGCAACAGGCATTTTGTTTGCAAAATACAATCAAAGTGTATTGATGAGAGATTTTTCTTTGCCAGCCAGTCAGCACTTTCTGCTAACAGCTTCTGGGAGGGCGATAACGGAGATCTCCATAAATCAGGGCCAGCGGCTCCGCGCCGGCCCCTGCCCGTGATGAGGCCGGGCTGGAGAGCACGAGGTACCCTGGGCGCTCCCGTCTTCACAGACCTGCCCCGAGTGGTCCCTGGTCCCAGACTGTTACAGAGTTGGGGTATTTTGTGGTGGTGGTTTTGTTTTGGGTATTTTCATGTGTGTGTGTGTGGTTGTTTTTTTGTTTTGTTTTTTTTTGGTGGTGTTTTCTGGTTTTGTTTTTCATTCCTCGTCCCCGGCTCTTACGAACATGGGAATAAGCGAGAGCAAAGTAGAAAATGATCTGGGGGGTCCTCCTGTCACCTACCACCAGACACTGTTTAACCAGACAACCTGTTTATTTCCAACCATCCTGCATGTTTTGAACAGCAGGGTTTCCTCTTTCTCTCCCTATTGAAAAACATCTTCAAAACAGACAGCAATTATTTGCTCCCCTAGCTCCTCACCCCTTTTCTCTCTCTCTGCCCCGCCTTCCACCTGGACATAAGTCTCATGGGAGGTTTTTTTTCAGTACGGAGGTGGCATTTCCCGACGTGCAGTAGAATCACATCTGGTTATTCCTGCCAGAACTGGTCATTTTGGTGGGACAAGTTGCAAAGTTCTGTTTTAGGCAAATAACGCACCCAGAAACTACCCCTGTTGTATCCGCCTGTGCTAACCCGGAATAATTCCCGCTCCTGACACTGTGCTCATGAACTTTCATCTCCCACTTGAGAGCATTTCTCTTAGTAATAGTTGTTACAGCTTGTAAACAATATAACACTATTACGAGTCTGCTGTTAATGTCAGAGCCAGCTTCTTAAGGCAACACAGTAGTCTCTCTGTTAGTTTGGGAGCAGTGACCAGTTTCCTACAAAATACCGTAGACCTTTGCAGATAAGGAAGAAATTTTGGAGTGAAAGTAATTTCAAAAAACCTAAACAAACAAACAGAAAAAAAACCAACAGAACAAAAAACCCACTCACCAACCAACCAGAAAAGCACCCCAACCCCCAGTCAGTTCTATACGACCTTCGATTTACGCGGCTTTATGCTAGTTCTGGTATCGGACAGCTCTAGTAGAAAAGGGGAAATAGCAGATGTTTTGGGGATTCAAGAAAATCTGTTGTGGAAAATGCTGTCCTAACAAAGTGCAAACTGTTTGAACAGCAAGTCAGCGGTGGGAATATTAAGGAAGCAAATTCGGTTCCAAAGTATTAGACCAAGTTTTCCAGACAAGTTATTAACTTGAAGAGAACAGCTGCTGTCACCCGTTATATTTTTATTTGGCCGCTTTACAATGTTTGACTCATGATCCTTAATGTATAAATAGTCAAGGAAAAGCTGCGATTTACACTGCTCCAAATTTGTAGCAGCTTTATTTATTAATGTAGATTTTCCTGAGAAATGCATGCACGGTTCTCCCACTGTTTTGCATTTCATGTCTACCTGCATTTAGACTGCATCTCTGTAGATCTGGGGATGTATCTGTTTCTGCAAGAGTATTATTTGATAAATACTCCCCATCGTTTATACCGATCTGAAAACAATTTTCCTAGTTTACTCAGGGCTGCCAAAGTGAATACCTGAATGCAGGCAATTTGAAATACAAGGTGTGGGGAAAAAATCCAAACCCCAAACGAACAAAACACAAACCCAAAGAAAACCAAACAATAATAAACAAATTTAAAAAGCCCTACAAAAGGCACACACAAAACCAAAGTAAAATCAAAACCAGAAACAAACGAACCGACTTCCCCCCCCCCCGCCAAACAAAACAAAACACTCTAAACCCACAAACACGAAAATGTCTGAGGACAAAATTTCTTTCTTGAAGTCCAGAACAATCTTAATGTGAAACTTAGGAGTGGTGAAAAAAAAAACAGCAAAACCTTTTGGCTAAGCGCAGGGGATCATACAGTCTGAACACAAAATTAGTATTTTTGTACCTGAAAATCTAAACATTTGGGATTAATGCACTCATGCAGCAGCATTTCTACAATTACGTGCCCGTGCCCACATAATGGTGTTTATGATGTACCAAAATCGTTGGTATCCCACATCATCATTTATTCAACAGTTGCTGTTTTGTGCCCATTTTACACAGACAGAGCCCTGATCTCGAAGGTTCCCGGGGGGTGGGATGGTGACAGCCCCTGAGCACACTTTCCCCGTGCTCCCCGTGCTGTGACCGTGGTTCGGATGTGGTGTCAGGGGGTGGAAAACAGGGTCGGAAGGTGGCCTGCTGGCAGGAAACCATTGGAAAGAGGCCCGGTAAGCAGGCGCAGCCATCTGGCTCTCCTGAAGCCCCGGGGAGAAGCATCAGCCGGCACCGGCGGTAAGAACCACTCTCAAAAAGGCAGAAGAATAAAACATCATGGCATCCAAACTCAGTGATAACCAGCGGAGAGTCATCTGGTTTGTGCCTTTGGTTTATACCACCGAAATTCTGTTCTACGGGTCTGACCGTGTGCATACAGCATCCTGGCGAGAAGCACCGCTGTGATCTGTGCTGTACAAGGGGGCTGTTCCTGTGCCAGGCTAAGGGTCGGGATTTGTGCAGTCTCCAGGTGGTAAAGATGCAAACTTCAGTGATATGAGTTACCAGAATTCGAAGAGAATTTTTAGTCAAGCCTGGTGAGGATACTTCTAAGGCTACTCAAAACTGAACAAACCTGAATTATCTTGAAAATAATATTTTGTAAGGATCAGGGAGTGTATTAGGGAGACCTAACCTGATTTTTGTTTGTACTTTTGATTCTGGTTTTAGCGTGCATTTGCTACCCAGTGGTATTTGCTATCAGCCCATAAGGATACACTGGAAAAGGTTGTAGTTCTGAAATAGGCTCTACTTGCAAGTAAGTGGTCCATTTGGTAGTACTGGGTATCACAGTACTATCTATTTATGTGGAAATTAGGACCATCATCTCCCTTAAATGCCTCTTCTAACTCCAGCAAGACAGGACAAAGGTAATTAGCAATTGCCAGACTGCCTGTGAAGGCTTGTATGTATAAATTGTCCGTTCACTCAGATGTGAATTATTCTTAGCATCTCACCTTTTATAATTAATGCATGATTATGAATATAAGAAAGGATTAG